TTGCGAGTCCTATTCCTCCATGACTTCCCAAAGACTCGAACTCTGAGGCTAATCTGGTGGGAAACCGGTGCCGGCTTGCCAGTCTTGGGCGGAAGCGCCGATCCTGAACTCGACGAAGGGTTGCTCGGGAATATGAGGCCAACCGTCAGACGAACACTCCCACGTGGACGGGACAAGTGTTCGAGTCTGGATTGCGGGAGCCCACCGGAATCCCAACTGTCTGGCCGTATGTCGTCACGGGAGGCTGTAGCCCTTAGTGATTCATGCATTCAAGCCCGGGCCAGACATCAGCATTGTTGCTTGCCTGGTGAACACACACACTCTCTCTCTCTCCCTTAGACACACACACAAACCCAAAGTGGCATCGATTGTCAGTTTCGGCTCACTTTTGCGGTCCCTCTTCATCTGCAATCATTTCAGCCTGTTACACCCTCATACAATCTCGCATCTTCTCGACAAAAGTTCACATTCGTCTGCTGCCGATACCTCTCGACGATAAGCCGTCATACCGCCCAGGAGTTGCAGATGCTCTAGATTACTTCCAGCTTCTCTATCGGGTCATCCTGACCCAGAGACTAATCGATCAACGAATGAAATTCCACCTCGTTACCAACACTTGCGTCAATAAGAGCACTGCTTTGCAGCTGAATGGTCATAGGTTGACTGCCGTTTGGAGCATTCCTCGTTGGGCAGGATGCATCATGTGAAGGGGGACTGATGAGTGAACCATGCCCTAACTACAACGAATAGTGTACAATTGCTTGACCAATTCACTTCTTTGAGAGGCCCTACTGAATGCGCATTTTAGATATCAATTCACCAGGACAGCATATTCCATACGTGTGTCTTTGATACTTTTGTTGAATGCATTCATTACGTATGAATGTGTATGGGCTGAAGAGACTTGTAGGTTGATCAAATCGAAAGTTTGTCGCAAAAGCTTCAATTCGACACCATGTCAATCCTGCCATCTAGCTTTACCCTACAGGCTATATATTTTAGTAGAACTAAGAAATAAAATATTTGGATAGAAAATAATTGGGCTCGTCCTCTTTTCTATTGATTAAGGTACCTGTTCCTAAAAGTGTTTGTCTCTTGTGGTTAACATCTGCAAGCATGCAAGTCTGGCTATGCAATTCCATCATGTCCTGATGGAATAAG